TCCCCCGGGGCGGAGCCGCCACGGGGTATAAGATACGGAGGGCTGGGAATGGGAACGGAGACACGGTACTCCTGGCAAGAGTGCTTGGTCAGCAGCATCCAGATCGGAGCCATGCTCTGAGCGCTCTCCTGCCTCTGGCAACCCCAAATCCTCTAGATCAAGAGAGGAAAGATCAGCAGGACACGCAGGGCCCCAGAAAGCTTAGAAAAAGCTTAGAAGAACGTGGCTTCTCAGGGCCACGTGCTCCTCGAGGGGCTGGCAAGCACTGCCTGCCATCAAGGAGGCTGCCACAGAGGTCCCTCCTCCAGAGGCACTGTCTTTTCAGGAGGAGCTGTCTGTGCTGCTGACCGACGTCCACCAGTGCAAGAGGAACCTGGATGAACACTTCAGCAAGCTCATCAACAACAAAAGCCGCATCGCGGTGAGTGTCACGTGCCAAGGCAGCCTGTGTCCCAGAGTCCTCTGTGTCCCACACAGCCCCTGGAGCAACCTCTGCTCCTGGGGCTCCCCAGCTCACCTCCTCTACTTCTCTCCTTCTCTTCCCCCTTCCCTGGGATAGCAGACGGGGATTATCTTCCACCCTGTTCCCTGAGGTTCGTGTTCTCCATGGAACTCGGGGATTAAACACAGACCAGTTTTGGGGAAGGGTGACGTAGCCCTCTCTGGTGGCACAGCCCTGTTTTCGGAAAGGGTGAAGTAACCCTCACCCAGCGTCCTGGCGGGAGCAGCAGTCAGAGCTGGCTTGACCAAACGTCCTTGGTGGTGGGGAGATAACGGGTGGAAAGGACCCTGCTCGGAGCAGGCTTCCCAGTCACAGCAACGCCGTTGCTTTCACATTGAGTTCATGCCTGGTTTAGCTGCGTGTCCGTTGCCCACGCAGTTGACATCCCCGAGGGACCTCCTGGCATCCCCTCTGAGGCTAAAGCTTCCCAGTGGGGCTCCTCAGAAGGGCTCAACCCAAATGCAACTGGAGCTGCACTTTCTCCCCCTTAGCCCAGGACACAGGTCGTTCCCAGGGAGCAGAGGGATCCCACAGCTCTTTTGAGGCTCTGATGAAGCTGGTTGGGACATCAGAAAATCAAAATCTGGGGGAGGAGAGGTGTAAGACAGGGGTGCCGTAGTGGTGAGCTGCTGAGGACAGCAGGATGAAACAACATCTGGCCTGCTGTACAGAGCTGCTCTTTATTTGGAAAGCCGGTGGAGGGTGGCTTGGTGGGACACGTTGACATTGCTGGTGGCATCTTGGAAACCAAAAAGGGGGTGAAGGGAATGGAGCAAGGCAGCCCTGCACAGCAGCTTGCTGTCTCCTGGCAGAACGAGGCCGATGTCTTCAAGTGGGTGATCCGGAAGGAGTTCCAGGAGTTGCACAGGTACATCGACGAGGAGAAGGCCACCTTCCTGGAGAGCATCGAGGGGAAGGCAGCCCAGCTCATCACCTCCATTGAGTCCCAGGTCAAGCAGACATCAGACGCCCTGCAGAGGCTTAAGGAGATGCAGAGCGCTCTGGAGGCACTCAGCAACGAAAGCCAGCTTGATTTCATCCGGGTGAGTGCGCTCGCTAGCGACGGCAGTGACAGGCAGGCAGGCTCTCCAGCCCTCAGCCCGCTGCTCCCAGCCCTGGGCAGTGGGAACCCTCACCCAGCGTAGCCGGGACACCACGAGAAGTGAGATGTAGGCGCCCTCTCTCCAGTGAGGGCTTCGCCCGATGGGACAGACCTCCCTTCCACGAGAGGTGATGCCATTAGCTCTCCCAGGAGAAGAGAGCCCCGGCCTCTCCAGCCCAGGGCACGGACGTGTGCAGCTGTGACCATGCAGAGGAGCTGCCATTCTGTCAGGCTCCCACCACTGACTCTCTTTTCTCTTGTGTTTTCCAGAAATACGGCTCCTCCCAGTTCAGGTGAGTGGTGCTACCCAGCAGCAAACAGCGTCAACGGGGATGGCAGCACCTCTGCAGCAGGGCTAGAGGTCCCAGGCCAGTGGGCACCTCAGCGTTGCAGGGGCAGCCTCACGTGGACACTGCTGTGGTGATGGATAGCCACGGCCAGAGCCACGCACTCAGCCCCAGAAGAGGGCAAGAGCAGCTGGCGAGACACCAGTGGCTCCGTCACACGCGGCAGCCAGGTGAGAAGAGGTCACACGCTGTCCCCGTCACCTGCGTCATGGCTGCTGGTGTCTTTCCAGGTCAGAGCTCCCCAGCCTGCACCCCAGCGACGGCATCTTTAGCCCCGTGTCCTTCAAGCCATGTTTCCACCAAGACGACATCAAGATGACCGTGTGGAAGCGCCTGCACCGCCGCGTCCTGCCAGGTACCGACCGCTGGCGCGTGGGACAGGCTGCCCGGCCGGCGTCGCGCTGCCCCGGCCTCTGTCTTGCTCTCTGCTTCTGCCCTCCTCGCCCCCAGGAGAGCTCCTGGAGCAGCGGCTGGCCCTGTCTCGTGCTGGTAGCAGCTTGCTCTGGCCTAACACTCCAGCTGCTTAAAGCTCAGCAGTGCCAGCTTGTCCGGCTGTGCCAGCCCCCGGGGTCGCCGGGAGCCGCACCCCTGCCCGCCAGCGTGCCTGGAGCCCGCGTGCTTTCCTTCTAGCTCCGGAGACGCTGAAGCTGGACCCAGTGACGGCGCATCCCCTCCTGGAGCTCTTCAAGGGCGACACGGTGGTGCAGTGCGGGCTCTACCAGCGCCGGGACAGCAACCCCAAGCGTTTCAACTCCAGCAACTGCATCCTCACCTGCAAGGGCTTCTCCTGCGGCCAGCACTACTGGGAGGTGATCGTGGGCACCAGGAACCACTGGCGCGTGGGCATCATCAAGGGCACGGTCAGCCGCAAAGGGAAGCTCAGCAAGTCTCCTGAGAACGGCGTGTGGCTCATCGGCCTGAAGGAAGGGAAGGTCTACGAGGCCTTCAGCACCCCACGGGCCACCCTGCCGCTGACCGCCCGGCCCCAGCGCATCGGCATCTACCTGCACTACGAGAAGGGCGAGCTGACCTTCTACAACGCCGACAACCCCGACGAGCTCAGCCCCATCTACACCTTCCAGGCGGAATTCCAGGGCCAGCTCTACCCCATCGTGGACCTGTGCTGGCCGGAACGAGGGCCCTACTCCCCCCCCATCATCCTGCCCGCGCCCGCCGCGAGCCGGCACCCCCGGGCGCCGTACAACCATCCTGCCCCGGAGGAACCCACGAAGCCGTAGCCCGGCCTGCGGCTGAGCCCCGAGGGCCCGCAGCAGAGGACGGTCAGGCTGCACGCAGGCTTGTCCTCCCGCGTAAGCTGTGGTAGCGCAGAGCGAGCTTGGGCAGCACAGGAGGGTCCTTCCCCTCTCCTCTAAGAGCATAAAATCTCAGCCTTGACCTGTGAATCCCCATCCCTAAAATCTAGGAGGCTGACCCAAAAGCTGGCCTGCAAAGATCTCCCTACGGAAAGGAGCGCCTGAAAAGCACGAGCCGTGAGCGTCCGGGGTCTTTGCTGGCGCGTCTTTCTTCTGAATAAATAGTTTGCGGTAGGCGAGCTGGTTGCTGGCTAACACCGGTGCCGTCTCCGAGGAACCAGACGGCAGCCAGAGCTGCGCGGGTGTGCCAGGCTGGCCCTGGCCCGGCGCCGGGTGCCACCGAAGCCACTCTACCGCTGCCCTCCGCTGCTGGGCAGGGGAGAGGAAATACAACGAGAGGCTCCTGGGGCGAGATAAGGGCAGGGAGAGAGCACTCGGCAATTACTGTCACGGGCAAAACAGACTCGGCTTGGGGAAATTAGTTTAATTTATTACCAATCAAATCCGAGTAGGGCAATGAGAAAATAAAAACTAAATATTAAACCCCCTTCCCCCCACCCCTCCCTTCTTCTCAGGCTTCACTTCACTCCCGATTTTCTCCACCTCCTCTCCCCGAGCAGCGCAGGAGGACAGGGAATGGGGGTTGCGGTCAGTTCATCACGTTGTTTCTGCCGCTCCTTCCTCCCTCTTCCCCTGCTCCAGCGTGGGTCCCTTCCACGGGGCGCAGTCCTTCAGGAGCAGCCTGCTCCAGCGTGGGTCCCCCTCACGG